GTATAATATATATAGTCATACTAGTCATTTTCATTTCATTTTCATTTACCCCAGTGCCGCAAAGGCTCCCACCTACGGTGGGGTAAGGGGGTTGGATGTACGCAGTCTTACCCCTGTACTAAGTACAGAGAGACTGTTTCCGGATGACCCATAGTGAAAATCGCGTTCAAAATTGCATGAACTGACTGCTGCTTCATAACAAAGAAGCGCAGCCGGTTTAGTGAGCCATTTTGCTTTATTCCATCATAATCTCAAGCCAAAAAATAATAAATCTTTGGCTCCATTGCAAATGATGGAAATATATAGTCATACTAGTGAAAAGAATTTATTTATATCAAAATATATGTGTGTTGATACTTTAATATAAAAATCAACTGAAGGATGGGAGAGTGGAAGAAGAAGAAACGAGAGAGGGGAGAGGGGAGAGGGCTTGATTTCGTAAGATCGTTGTTCTCTCCCCATGTTCATCCTACGTCATCTGATTTTCTCTTAAGTGTAGTATTAACATATTCAGCCCCATAAGCTCATGATTGTTAATTAGATAATGTGTGACAGTGTGTATCAATCAATGATGTGCCATAGTACACAATATAGTGATATTAATTAAAAGTTACTAGTATAATATATATAGTCATACTAGTCATTTTCATTTACCCCAGTGCCGCAAAGGCTCCCACCTACGGTGGGGTAAGGGGGTTGGATGTACGCAGTCTTACCCCTGTACTAAGTACAGAGAGACTGTTTCCGGATGACCCATAGTGAAAATCGCGTTCAAAATTGCATGAACTGACTGCTGCTTCATAACAAAGAAGCGCAGCCGGTTTAGTGAGCCATTTTGCTTTATTCCATCATAATCTCAAGCCAAAAAATAATAAATCTTTGGCTCCATTGCAAATGATGGAAATATATAGTCATACTAGTGAAAAGAATTTATTTATATCAAAATATATGTGTGTTGATACTTTAATATAAAAATCAACTGAAGGATGGGAGGGTGGAAGAAGAAGAAACGAGAGAGGGGAGAGGGGAGAGGGCTTGATTTAAAAAAGCGCACCTCAAAGGCGCGAGGCGCCCTAAGGCGATCACTTTATCGCATCTTCCACCCCCAGGCGGCATAGGTTCCAAGAGGCGCACCTTATATGGTGCTTTTTGACGCCTTTTGCGCCTCTGAGAGGCGCGCGCTTCTCACGCATCATGGATGTCTCTTTTGGCGATTTAGTCTCTAGTCTTCTCCCTTCTTCCTTCTGCGCTTGGTTTGCTTCCGAGTTCCCACATCTGCGGTCCTGTTTCTTGCTCGCGTAGCAGGACTCGCAAGTCTGTTTCTTCCGCTACTTTCTCGCATCGCAGGTAAGTATTTATTTCTTCTCTTCTACAGTTTGTTCTCTTATTGGTGTGATAGTTTATTAATTAAGTATGTATTATTTTATATTTTATTACCTTAAATTGTAGTATTACTACCTCTGTTGGTCTGTTCTAGATCATGCTGAGTAGGGTACCTAAATATTTGATTTTATTTAACAAATATATAAGATAGATTTTATTATTAACAATTTTTTATAGAGATATTACCCGAAATAGGACTAAAACAGTTTGAAAATTCCAAAATAGGACTGACATGTTTTTATTCTCAAAATAGGACTAATTACTGCCCTTTTTTGGTAGTACCAGACTTCAAACATGACAGTATTTTCTAAACATGGCAGTAATTAGTCCTATTTGGGAAATAAAAAATATGACAGTCGTATTTTGGAATTTTGAAACTGTTTTAGTCCTATTTCGGGAATTTTTATATAACATCTTATTAATTATGTTTTGAAATTTTAAGATTGAGTTTTGTGACTTGACTCTTGCCAATGATGTCGTTTGATATTTATTTCTTGCTACTGTCTTAATAAATATTTGATTTGTCTTATGATGTATGTTAAGATTGTTTAATAGTTTGAAGTATTTTTGTGATGTTATCATTTTTTGAGATGAGTGCTTCATGTAGAAGACTAGAAATAGTATAATATATATCTTACCAAAGATATGATGTTAAGATCCGTGAGGCGCGCGCCTCGTTGCCTCGCGCCTCGCATCTCGGGTAAATCAATGAAAACGCCTCATGCCGCCTCGCGCCTTTTAAAACTAAGGGAGAGGGGAAGATATGAGAAAAAATGGTAACTTATTAAGAAATTGTAGTCACGGCTCTAGGGGGATAGTAGATGTCAGAAATTCCGTTCAATCTAGGTTTTGTAACTTAATTTTTCAATTTTTTAAGGGGGGACCGAGTTAGACCGAGTAACTCACCGAGTTGAAAACTTCACCGAGTTGAGAAACTCGCCGAGTACTCGGCGAGTAACTCGAAAATAAAACATGGACCGAGTTAGGTAGCTACTCAACAAGGTCAGTACCCGAGTTGCGAGTACTCTCCGAGTGCTCACCGAGTAGATAACCCAGAATAATGTTCACAATTTCCTTTTTGGATAGGTCCAACATAAACCTCACACTTCTATTTTTGGTAAGTTTTTTATATAAAGTTACCCTTATACCCTTACGTTATTACTTACTTTACACCCACTTTCTCTCTTCCATTACATCTAATCTACTTTTTGATGGGTATGATGGCCTGATGGGAAAGTCAAAAGTACAAATTTCACTTTATTAAAAATTATAAAGTCAAAGTTTGATGTTTATTTGGGATCGGGGGAAGTAATATTTATAAAAAGTAGAGTAGTAGACACATTGAGATTATGAAAACTATTTATATTGTTAATCTTTCATTATTGTATCATTTTATCATTTTCTTCTTCCTCACTATCATGTAAAGGTTCATCTCCGATCTTAAACATACTTGTGGGACCTTGCATGTTGAAAAATATGGAAAAAGAAAAAGGATCAAATAGGCCATTCTACTATCTCTAATATGTCACTTAAGCCCCTATACAAAAACAAGTATCATATAAGTACACCTACTTTACAAAATTGATCAATTTGACCATTTAATGACTGATAATCCCTACACCAAAAGGCGTAAAACCGGTGGGCTTTGAATGAGTATGTGTGCGTAAACGCAATGAGAAGAATGAAATCGTAAGATATAAAGCCCGACTTGTTGCCCAAAGTTTTTCTCAAATGCCGAGAATAGATTATGAAGAAGCTTATTCTCTAGTAGTTGATGCAACTACATTAAGATTTCTTATTGGCATGTCTGTTTTTGAAAAGATGCAAATGCACCTAATGGATGTAGTGACTGCATATTTATACAGTTCACTCGATATAGACATTTATATGAAAGTTCCCGGTGGATTTAAAATGCCTGAAGCTTGTAGCTCGAAACCTCAACACATGTTTTCTATTAAATTACAGAAGTCATTATATGGACTAAAACAATCGGGATGAATGTGGTATAATCGTCTCAGTGAATATCTTCTCAAAGAAGGATATAAGAATGATCCAATTAGTCCATTTGTTTTCATTCGGCAATCAAATTCGGGATTCATCATAATTGTAGTATATGTTGATGACTTAAACATTATTGGAACTCCTGATGAAATTGAAAATACTGCAAAATATCTTATGAAAGAATTTGAAATGAAAGATCTCGGGAGAAGCAAATTTTGTCTCGGACTTCAAATTGAGCATTTGAAGAATGCAATTTTCACCCTTTAATCCAATTACATCGAAAAAGTTTTGAAGCGGTTCTACATGGACAAAGCTCATCCGTTGACTTCACCAATGGTGTTCGATCTCTCAACATACATGATGATCCATTCAGTACTCAAGAAGACAACGAAGAAATACTCGGTCCCAAAGTACCATATCTCAGTGCTATTGGAGCGTTAATGTATTTAACTAATAATACTAGATCAGATATTGCATTTTCTGTTAATTTATTAGCTAGGTGCAACTCATGTCCAACGAGGCGTCATTGGAATGGGATCAAGCACATATTCCGCTATCTCCGTGGTACAGTTGTGATCCCGGCATATTCTACGACAAAGATGCAAAAGCCACTTTAATCGGATATGCAGATGACGGATACTTGTCAGATCCTCAAAAGACAAAATCACAAATCGGATACGTATTTTCTTATGGTAACACCGCAATCTCGTGGAGATCTATGAAACAGACATTGACAACTACATCATCAAATCATTCTGAGTTAATTGCACTATATGAAACCGGAAGAGAATGTGTCTGACTGCGATCTATGATTCAACACATCCAAAACGAATGCGGTATGAAGCCTCTTACTTGTCATCCTACTGTGATCTACGAAGACAACACTGCGTGCATAGCTCAGATTAAAGAAGGCTACATCAAAGGGGACAGAACAAAACACATATCACCAAAATTCTTCTCTACTCATGATCAGGAGAAAGAAGGGACAATCAACATTCAACAAATCAGATCCAGTGAAAATCCAGTTGATCTTTTCACCAAATTTTACCCCCTAAAAAGTTCATAGAACTTGTACAAAAAATCGGCATGCGCCGCCTTCAAAATTAATGTTAAATTTAGGGGGAGTATTTGAATGCACTGCACTCTTTTTTCTTTCATCAGGTTTTTATCCCACTAAGTTTTTCTTGATAAGTTTTTTAACGAGACAGTACATCCAAATACAACAACATTATATGTCGTAATCTTTACCCCTTAACTTTCATTTTAATTTTCACAATAAGTTTTTAAAATAATAAATACCTATTCAAGGTTGAACATTCAAGGGGAGTGTTGTAAAATCACCAAAACGACAAGTGTGAATGTCCATCCTTGTAATCAAGACACCTAGCTAGTTCTAATCCTTGTAATCAGGCCACTCATCTACTACTAATCTGTGTAATCATAGATAGACAGGTGTCTTGATTTAATAGTGCCAGCAAATTACGTAGAATCATTCCTAGATGATTCCATTCTTTGCTAGTATAAATAAAGCTTATTCCATTCTTTGAAGAAGTAATTCAGAGATTTCTATCGATATATCTATCTCATAAATTTAGTCTTCATCTTTTTCATTTCAGAACAATTGTGCATTTCTTCGAACGGGCTAATTAGGTATGTTCAATTCAGATTTGGATGCTCTCCAGCACGGCACTGTGCCTAGGGCAGATCCTACATCAGTAAGAACACTGAGGGAGGGGGTGACATGTACTCTGTTTTGCATCTGATGGCTTATGAAAGGAAGGCACCTACTTGGCTGCCAAAACCAGGCAGAGAAACCTGATCTGTTCAATTCAAGGTCTACATAAGAACCCGTAACCCGATTTAGCTCTTCGCACTTCCATCTCTTCTTTTTGTACTTTGCCAATAAAAGAGCAAAGCACTCTCTGCTCCTTCATCTCCAGAGCTTTTAATTCTTGGTAGTAGTATCGCACGAGGATTTATATCGTGAATCAACTCAGAATTACGGTCTAGAGATATGAATTGGTCCTCTGTTGCATCATATTGTTTTTGTATCGAGCTAATCACAACTCTTGCTGCTTGGATTGGCTCAAATTGGGTGAATAGCACAGCCTGTTTTTGTCCACCGTTGTTTTTAGCATTTTTTACCTAAATGGGAGCAAAACTGGTATAGAATAAGACAAAAAGCTGCATTTATGGCCGAAAATGAGGATTTTTCAAAAGAATTGAAGGCATCACTTTCCTTTTGTAATCATCTGCTGATTATTTTTTACGGAGGGTGCAGTCCAGAAGACTGACAAACTACTTATTCTAGTTAGCCGCAATGGTTTTTGAGGTCGAACTCGTTTAGTGACTTGGATGAGTGGACCTTTGATCATTAGAATTGTTGTCCTGAACTGCATATATGACAGATGATATATCATGTTATGCAATGATTTTTTATCTTGTTTGACTTAAGAATGTACTGTATTTAGCACCATCTGTTTGTTGTCTTCATATCTGTCCTAAAAGGCTGTGAAAATCGACATTTTAAGTGTATATATTCACTTTAAAGCAAAACAGGTCCATTAATTCTAATTCCGATCTAAGTTTCATTGTTACAAGTTAACATACTGAGAACCACTCTGTCTATTTGAGGTCCTTAGTTAATGCTTTGAACGGGTAGTTCTGTTTGCTAGCTTTGTAGAAATGTAATGCGGTTTACTAAAAGTGATAGTTCAATATCTAGGTCACTAAGGTCAGCCAATGATAAACTTTTAAAGAGTTGAAGCTTATTTTTTGTTCTTGTTATGCATTCTTTGTGCAGGCTTGAACTGCACATGTAACTATTATCTCTATCTGGGTTGAAGATTATTTTTTTCTGGATGTGGACCCACGTGAAACCAAACAATATTTTAAGAGAAGGCAGCTCAATCAACCAACTGAGAATTCTATCCTTGCAGGTTGGATATTTCCGACATTCTCATTTCCAGACAAAGCTGCAAACTGGCTCTGATGATGTTTCACGTTCATCAAGAGAATTTGCCAAAAGAAAGGTCCAAAGCATCGTTGGGATTTTCTGGGATTTAGGTAACAAAAAACCACCAAAAACGTTACCTCCTTTTGAGGCAGCTACAAAGATAAGAAAGGCGGCAGAGAAGTTTGGGTTTGTTAGGTATATGATAGCCTATGCTAATGAACATGCACTCAGTTATGTTCCACCTGTTGTAAAGAAGAGGAAAGAACATAAAGTGTCAAATGACTTGGAGTATACCTGTAGGGTGTGCGGGAGGAGGTTTTATACTAACGAGAAGTTAATAAACCATTTTAAGCAAATCCATGAGCGTGAGAATATGAAACGGGTGAATCAGATTGAGAGTGCAAGAGGGAGCAGGAGGGTGAACTTGGTGGCAAAATATGCAACAAAGATGCATAAGTATAAGAGTGCGTCTAGAGACATTCTGTCACCAAAAGTTGGGTACGGTTTGGCGGATGAGTTGAGGCGGGCCGGGTTCTGGGTTAAGTGTGTTCCAAATAAACCAGACGCTTCAGATATTGGTATAAGGGACCATTTGTTGAATATGATGGACAAAAAGATGGTAGATTGTGTGCTTCTTATATCTGACGATCCGGATTTTGTGGAGGTTTTGAAGGAGGCGAAGTCAAGGTGTTTGAGGACGGTGATCGTTAGTGATGTCCCAGAAGGGGACCTCAAGAGGACCGCTGATGCTTCATTCTCATGGGAGGAGGTAGTGATGGAGAAGACTAAGAAAGAAGCTGTCGCAGTTGTGAGTCGGTGGAAGGACTGTGATGTGCTGAAAACATTGGAATGGACTTATGATCCAGAGAGAGACAGAAAATACTATTTATTATCTGACATTGATAGTGAGGACTGGTCTGATGGTGATGATCATTTCCTGCAGAAGGAAGACAGTGGAGCATGGTGGGAGCTTGACTCTTAGACTGCTAACATGAACGGATGACCATCACAGTCATTTTAAAGATACACTAGGCTCCGTTTTGTAGCCATAATCGGCTTAATATGATTATTCTTTACTAAAATAAGTAGCTTTCAACTTACTTGGCTGAAATGGATGTGGTTGTTTCCAGAAGCTTTTCCTTTAAAAAAATCACCCGGTTAAACCATTTTAGCCACGCACAGCCTTTACTTAAAGGCTATACATGAAGAAACTGAAGTGGCAGGCTATTGGGACATATGGGCTCATTGTGCATGAGCTAAGACAATTCCGTCTCAAGAACATAATGGCGGTGATGATAATGTTTCTGTTTTGCCACAATATGGTTGATGAAAAGGTTGAATTTTTCTAGCTACAGAGTGAATATATAGTTTTATCGGGGAGTTGGTTGAGTTCTACACTTCTACCGCCCTCGCCCCTCGATAATCTATGCTTTCTGTACTAGACATGGACTGCCCAGCACAATATCTAGAAGAGCAAGGATGTCACAGGCTGCCTCTTTATATGTTGTGTATGTGATCATGTCCTGCTCGCCTCACTTGAGTTTTAAAATATATATGTAGTAAGCTTTTTGTGTTTGAGTTTCTGGGTTGTCTGCAGTCAATTTCTTTTTTCCACTATATAAAGCCATAATTCCAACATTATATTCTGAAGCAGTAAATGTACTGTTGGGTAGACTTTAACTACATTTCTATAATGTTGAGGGTGTATTAAAAGATATGGAGTCGTAAGGTGGAATCATGTGAGGGTCGTACTGAAATATATTTTCTGTGAATATTGGAATCATGTGAACCATTAAGCTAGGGGCAGGGAAAGGTTAGAGGTTTGATTTGGCCTCCACCAATCTCTACCTAAGGTGGTTTCTTAGGTAGAGAATGTAAGACGTTGGTTGTAGGCTCCTGGAAGGCTGGAACAAATCAAAGTTTGGCAAAACCCCACTAATGTTGGGCATACACCTACTAGAGTTTGCCACGTACTAATCATATGGTTGATAATGGTCAGACCATTTTCTTTTAAATAAAAATATGAGAAATATGCTACAATAAACTAAAAAGGGAAATGGAAAATAGGAAACATCAACTTTGCTAATAAATGTTTGTTTGGAGAGTTTCCATAGAGTTTTCGGAACGCAAACATACTGTTTTTTGAAAGTTTCTGTGCTACATTTTGCTCAGGTGTCGCGGACCCGAAACTATGGTGGCATGTAATATGATGGTTATGCTCTTTCAAGAAATGTTGCATTTACATTTCTTTTGTATATATACGTAGTATAATATATGCCTATGTAGTTTTTTTAAGGGTTCTTCTGCCGTGCCTTCTAAAATTAAGTATGTACCGGTACCCAAATATTTTCAGCCAATCACGTTATAATGTGAAGCCACGTAACATCCTACTCATATTAGTATACAAAGTTTTATTATTTACATTTTAGTCCATAATTAAGAAGAGTTAACAAGTTAAACGCTCAAAGGTTTGCCAACTGCTCACGTCATTCCGGTTAGGGATGGATTCGGGCCGGGTCGGGCCCGGGCCGGGCCTAGGCCCGGTCGGGCTGCCGGTTCGAAAATAGTGGGCCCGGGACCGGCCCGAGGGTTGGACGGGTCCGGTTCGGGCCGGGCCACCCGTCCGGGTCACGGGTCAGGTCCGGTTCGGGCCGGGCCGTTTTTTTTTTTTTATAATTTATATTTTATAGTTTATAGTTTTATACGAGTATTAAAAACAAACTTCAATTGCATTTATTTGAAATGAAATAGGAACTACATTTGAAAATTAAAACAAACTTTAACAGAATAACAGATAAACATTTTGAAAATTGTAATCAATTGGAACTTCCCGCACCTCCCGATCCTTTGGCTTTGTCACATGACTTCATATGCTTGATTGCCATCCCGAATCCGCCTGAAGTCCCCATGTTACATTTTTTCTCGCACCATTTGCAAATTTGCGTACCACATCCCGGTCTTCGGGTCCTTCTGCTTATCAAAATTATACCGTATAATGGCATCTTGATTTTCCATCTTAACTTCTTAAGTATAAACTATAAAGTAGATATATAAATAATGAATATAATATATTGGAGAATAAGAGAATTAGAGAGTAGAGAGTTAAGAATAGGATTTAGGAAGAATTGGAGAAGAGATATGAAAAAATGTTTAAGATTAGGAGTATTTATAGGTTTTTTTACCCCCCACCCCACCCCCCCCACCAGCCAACCCCCCGGACCCCCCCCTTTACCCCACCCAACGGCTATATAGCCGTTTGGGTTGTCCCCAGCCCCACCCCCAAGGCCCCAACGGCTAGTAGCCAAACCAAACAAAAAAAAGTTTTTTTTTTTAAAATAGACCCGGGCCCGGGCCCGACCCGGTCGGGCCGGGTCACAAAAATCCAGAACCGCCCCCCGCCCCCCCGCCCCTTCCCATCGGTTCGGGTCCATACCCGGTCCCGGACCGCCCGACCGGGCCGGTCCCGGGCCCGCACAGTACCGGGCCGGGCCAGGTCACGGGCCGGGTGGCCCGAACCGAATCCATCCCTAATTCCGGTAAGTTCCCGAAGCCAGGCCACCTCTTTTCGCTTCTGATCCAAGACGACGTCAAACACAACGATGAAACACAAGAACATCACTGATACAGAAGTGAATCAAATCACTAATCATTTTTTGGGTCTAGAATTCTTATTAAAACAGACCAATTAAACATTAATCAAAATAACATAATCTAACATTTGAGCTCTAGTTTGTGAACAAAGGCATCGATGACAAACAAGCTGTGAGTTTCTGGCAGGAAAGGGAAAAGATAACTCCGTCTAAGTGCCTGACTGAAAATTTCCGTCAAAATGTGGTGAATTGCTGGAAATTCACATCAATTATGTAAAAGATATTGTTTCAGAAAGAAAAATACCCCCAAGTATGTCAATTAAGACAGATTCATTTCAAAAGTACCCCACCCAATTGTTCTGAAGCGTAATTGTGGTTATCATTTGGATTTTGAATCATTTTAATTCAATTTTAAACTTTTAAGAATCATATTATCATATCAATTCATCACATTTCATTGTCTGATGTGGGGAGTGCCTGTATGATCGTATGATCCGTAAGTTCCAAGCAAGCCTCAAGTGGTGTCTCTCTCATCTTTCTTCCCTTCATACTTTTGCATCAAAACTTCTCAAAAGAGATAGTCTCTTTTTTCCTTCATACGATGACTTTTTCACATAGTAATATAGTCTGCATTAGTATGTGATTAATTTGGAGGACTGAAACGCAAATACTAGAATAATATTGGCGTGGAACAACGTGGCAACAGAGTGCAATGTGATTGGCTGACAAAACTTGGGTACCAAAACACGCTTATTTAAGCATGTACCGTAGAAATTTCCTTTTTTTAATTGGCTCCATTGTAATTTCTTTGCTTTCATGATTTTAATATATACGTACATCGACCATAAAAAAATATTTGGGTTGACAACAGAAAAACTAATACAAGTCAACCTAATTTGATTTCTATTATTGTTTATTTTCTTAAATTTAAAAACAAACAAAACTCATACTCCATCCACTCCGTAATACATTGTCAACCCTCAACATTTCTTATTTTCGGAACATCATCCTAATTAAAGAGATGAGCGCCTCAAACTTGCATATGTAATTAAATATCCTAAACTTTATTTAAAAAGTTATTTTAGCACCATATTCAAGTATTATTTATTTCAAAAACTGTAAACTTACGGTGTTAATTGCATAATTTAAAATATTTTAGAATTCATGAAGACGCAATAAACATTCTAAATTTCCATTACGAAATAAATAATGTTACCCTCAATCCATATTATTGCAACACCTTTAATTTGCTATTTTAAATTATGCGATTAACACCATACGTTTACGTTTTTGAAAGAAATAATACCTGACTATGGTGCTAAAATAACTTTTTATATAAAGTTTAGGATATTTAAATTACATATGCAAGTTTGAGGGCTCGTGTTCTCGTACCCCTTCAAAGTTTGAGGTTAATTAGTCATTGGCCACTACTTATGCCTAGGAACTAGTAGGGAGGGCAATTATTTACATTAAGCGTAAAAATGTAATGTTTAACCTTATTTAAGAAATATGAAACACATACTCATATTTGGAAACTTCAATCATGTTTTAGTTGCGTTTAGGGTAATTTTTCTTGATCGATTCGTGGGTCGATCCCCATTACTACTAGTTAGTTCCGATAGGAACATGAAATTAAAGTCCCGAACATAGCCCATTCCTCTCACCTCTTAATAATCTATAAAGGAATTATCCTAAATGGGACTAAAACATGGCTAAAACTCCAAACTAGGACTTTAAGTTTTAAATTGCTTAAATAGGACTCCAGATTACATTTTTAGCCCTGATCCCAAAATAACCTTTCCCCAATCCCTCTGCCATCGATCCTACACCTGCGATTCAGCCCTCCCTTTCCGGCGCAGCTGCCATGTAGCAGCTTGACCGATTTCAATCGCAACTCAACAACCATCATCGCAACCACCTGCTCAACGCTGACCACCACCTCTTCTCTCCGGCAAAATCAGGTATTCTTCATCTTCTCCTCCTGCTTCCTCTTCCTCTTCTTTTCTTCTTTTTCTTTTTCTTCTTCTTCCCCTCCCCCCTCTGTTTTCTTCTCCTCGCAGTTCTCCTTGCACTCATCTGTTTTCGATTAAAACTTCTTCTACTTGTTTTGAATTTCAGATTATTTTAGACATTTTATTTCGAAAATGCCATCATTTAAAAATAATGACAATTTCATGACATTGCATTTGTTATGATGACAATTTTGACCTGTTTGTCACTTTACTCGAAAATGACATGTTAACATCAAAGGCAAAAATATGACATTTTTAGATGCAAAAACATGTCAGTTTTGAGATTACAACATGACATTTTTGTTGGGATCCCTACTTAATTGGAGAGGTTCTAGAAAATTCTAGAGCTTTCTAGAGAAGTATAGAATTTTCTAGAACGTTGCGGAGAATCCTAGAGAAGTCTAGAACTCTCTAGAAGCTTGCGGAATAATGTGGAATCCTCTGGAATATTCTAGAGATGTGTGGAACCTTCCGGAAGCTTATGGAAGAGTATGGAAGCATATGGAAGAGAATGGAGAGGTGTAGAGATTCCTTGGAATTCTCTAGAATAGGTAGTCATGTAGATCATTCTAGAGAAATATTCTCCACCACTCATTATGGAGGTGGAGTAGTATAAATAGGAGTAGGAGCCTCCATTCCTAACTATCCCAATCCTAATCCTAGCAATCCTAGCAAGAGAGAATCGACTTCCTAGAGTGAGAAAGCTAGAGAGTTAGAGAGCCTCTTTGAGAGAGAAGAGAGTTAGCTTGGGAAGGTCATATCCTCAAGCTTGAGTGAGCCACCATTGAGTGAGACAATTTTGTAACACTCTTGTAAATTCTACTATTCTTTTGTATAGTGGAAGAATCTCCATATTGGAGAATTTAAATCGTGTGCTCCCATTACTACCTTAATTCCTAAGTGCCTATCTTAACTTCACGAAGCGGGAAATTCTGGAGTTTTTTCCCAATAGTGGTATCAGAGCCAGGTTCATTTGAGGTTGTCATCAGCTTGTGTAGTTCAAGATGGAGGATAGCGTCGCCCATGATGGAGACATGTTCAAGCTAACTGCCAACAACTACTCATATTGGAAGCCAATGATGGAAGACCATTTATACTGCAAGGATTTGCATGAGCCCATCATCTACAAAGAGAAGGTGGAAGGCAAGAGTGACGCTCAATGGGAGCTACTGAATCGGAAAGCCGTTGCTATGATCCGTAAGTACATCGACAAATCCCTCTTCGAGCATGTGTCCACTTACACGAATGCTTATGAATTATGGACAAAACTTGAGTCCATGATTCAAAAGAAGACACCTCGTAATAAAGCCAATTTAGTTCGACGGTTGGTGAAATTGGAGTATAAGGATGGTCAAAGTATGATTGAACACTTGAATAACTTCAAGGGGCTCGTAAATCAACTAACAAAAATCGAGATGAAGATTGATGACGAGTTGCAAGCCCTTCTACTCCTTAGTTCATTGCCAGAAAGTTGGGACACACTCGTGGTTACACTTAGTAACTCAGCTCCGGAAGGAAAGCTAATCATGGACACCGTATGTGATAGTCTTCTTGGCGAAGAATCAAGGAGAATGGAACGAGGTGAGTCTATGCATCCTAAGGCTAATGTTATCGAGAACCGGGGTAGGAATGAGACTCGTGGACGCAGTAAAAGCCGAGATCCGCAACAATCTCGAGGTAGGTCCAAGTCACGCTCGAAGATCACATGCTACTATTGTGAAAGAATGGGCCACAGGAAAATGGAGTGTCGATCCTTCAAGAGAGACCAGAAGGCCGGTAACGTCAAACCAGACCAAGTCACCCCAACGAAGAAGCAAGAAGAGAAGAGTACCACTACCGTAGTCGCAAAAGAAGATATGCTATATCTCGTTGGAGAAGGTAATATCCTAAACATTGCTTGTGATGATAGTTCCTGGATTATCGATTCTGGTGCTTCGTTCCATGTCACTCCCCATGGAAGTTTCTTCTCATCCTACCAAAGTGGTGACTTCGGTACGGTTGAAATGGGAAACCGAGATAGGAGCAAGATCGTTGGGATAGGAGACATCGTCCTGACAACTAGCACCGGATGCAAGCTTGTTCTCAAAGATGTGAGGCATGTCCCGGCCATGCGCCTCAATCTTATCTCCGCTGGAAAGTTAGATGATGCTGGTCTGATGAATTACTTTGGTGAAGAAAAATGGAAGCTCACCAAAGGAAGTCTAGTCATGGCTAGAGGAAAGAAGGAAGGATCGTTGTATGTGATGCAAGCTAAGCTCTGCAAAGGAGAGGTAAATATAACCACTGATGACATGGAAGTATGACATAAACGACTTGGTCACATCAGTGAGAAGGGCCTTCACATACTTGCTCGGAAACAACTCCTCCCAGACGTGAAAGGTAAGTCACTTGATCCTTGTGCACACTGTTTAGCTGGAAAACAACAAAGGGTTGCTTTCCAAAGATCTTCTCTGCACACAAGGAGAAAGAACATCCTCGACCTTGTACACACCGATGTGTGCTCAATGTCCGAGAGATCTATTGGTGGTGCGTTGTACTTTGTGACCTTCATTGATGATCATTCAAGGAAGGTATGGTTGCAGCTGTTAAAATCAAAGGATCAAGTACTTGACGCTTTCAAGGAATTCCACGCTCTTGTAGAACGTGAGACAGGAAGGAAGATCAAGTGTGTACGATCTGACAATGGAGGTGAGTATAGAGGTCCCTTTGAAGTCTATTGCAAGAAATATGGCATTAGGCTAGAGAATACTCCACCCAAGACACCACAATTGAATGGGCTAGCTGAGAGAATGAATAGAACTATTGAAGAAAGAGTCCGTTGTGTGCTCTCTCAGGCTAAGTTACCCAAATTCTTTTGGGGAGAAGCTATAATGGTCGTAGTTGACATCATCAACCTCACACCATCGGTTCCTTTGAACAGAGCCATCCCAGAGGAAGTATGGACGGGCAAAAAGGCTTCATACAATCATCTTAAGGTGTTCGGGTGCTGAGCATTTGTTCACATCCCCAAAGACGAGCGAGCTAAGCTCGACGCAAAGACGAAGGAGTGCATATACCTTCGCTCACCCAAGGATGAATTCGGCTATCGACTATGGGATCCAATCAACAAGAAGGTTGTTCGTAGCAGAGATGTGGTGTTCTTCGAAGACCAAACAATTGAAGACATTAAAAACTCGGAGAAGCCAAGATTGAGAAGCAGCAGGAGCACCGGACCTATGCAAGTTCGATGTGAGGATACTGATCCACATCAAGACAATAATGTTGAAGACCATGAGCCTGTGTTAGAGCAAAGAAACCAGGAGACTCATGATGAACCAACTCAGGAAGATCCTCAATCTAGTTCTCTGCCAGCACCAGAGCCGAGGCGATCCTCAAGGGAGAGAAGACCATCCACTCGGTACAACACCGAGGAGTACGTGATGCTCACGGATGAGGGGGAGCCACAAAGCTATAAAGAAGCAATCTGTGATGTTCATAAGGAAGAGTGGAGAAGAGCCATGCAAGAAGAGATGCAATCCTTGCATGAGAATCACACTTATGAACTTGTGGAGCTACCAAAAGGGAGAAGAGCCTTGAAGAATAAATGGGTGTATCGAATCAAGATCGAAGACAATAGCTCAAAGCCTCGTTACAAAGCTCGATTGGTTGTCAAAGGATTCAGTCAAGAAAAAGGCATCGACTTTGAGGAAATATTCTCTCCTGTGGTAAAGATGTCATCCATCCGAGTTGTTCTTGGCCTAGCAGCGACGCAAGATTTGGAAATTGAACAACTCGATGTCAAGACAACGTTCCTTCACGGCGACCTAGAGGAAGAGATCTACATGGAGCATCCCGAAGGGTTCAAAGTTCCGGGCAAGGAAAACCTAGTATGTCGCCTTAAGAAGAAGAAGGAGGAAAAGAAGAAGAAGAAATACTTACCTGGAGATATGTCGACCTGAGCCGTGGAGAGGAAAGCAAAGCAGACCTGCGAACATGAGAGGCTGTTATGCGTTCGCCGATGTCATGTTTTTTAATTGGGGGCAGTTTAGTGAGATCAATTTTTTTAGTCCCATTTTTGACCAATAAAACATAGTAGTCCTAAGTTTGCAATTTAACTTTCATTTAGTCCTATTTCGACGATTCTCTCTGATCCATACTAACCTCCGAAGCAAATCAAAGGTCACATAACGGATGGCGATAGATAGATCATCTATGTTCAAAACAGCACGTCTGTTGATTACCCGACTTTTAATTAATCATCTCCCATCCATCTGATCTATATATATATATATATATATATATATATATATATATATATATATATATATATATATATATATATATATATATATATATATATATATATATATATCCAGCTTCATCTATTTGGAAATGAATTAGGTAGTAACGTAAGGTAGGGAATTAATTAACAATGGCAGAGGGCACCCCAACAACGAAGACGGTGAGCTTGAAGCTTCTGATCAGCAAAAGTTCCCAGAAGGTGGTTTACGCGGAAGCGGATAAACCGTTCGTGGACTTCTTGTTCCACCTCATGTCCTTCCCCTTGGGCGCAATGATCAAACTGGTCAGCTCCTCCATGGTTGGGTCCCTGGGAAACCTGTACGCCAGTATCCAGAACCTCAACGAGACCTACCTTCAACCCCACGTCGACAAAGACGTCCTCTTGAACCCCAAACCCCTAATCCCCTCTTCGTCCCGTAACAACGTTCCGCTCCTCTTGGCAGATGATGATGATGCCGACGATGAGACGGTGTCGTTCTACCTGTGTAACAACTGCTACAACAACTTCTCCGACACCAAGAAAGCGACTTGTCCCCTCTGTAGGCGTTCCGTGGACAAAAAGATAAGTTATGTCACTCCCGCCAATCCCACCGCGGCGCAATCTGCCGCAGCCGGTCGTGATATGAACGGCGCAGGCGGGTTCGTGAGGGGGCTTGCTACCTACATGGTTTTGGACGACTTGAAGGTCATTCCGCAGTCTACCATTTCTGCCATCACCATACTCAGCGAGAACGGTGTTAAGGATTTTGGTTCCCTTGAGGTCAAGATCGTCCATTTGGGTTTTCAAGAGGTACAATGTTCTCCGTAATTCAGTATTAGTATCTCTCTTACAAATTATTATAAATAGGATTAAAACTATCTCAAAAACTTAAAATAGGATTTACTATATTTTTATTTTCAAAATAGGATCATATTAGTCTTATTGGAAACATACCTATTTTTTCGTGGGTGTTTTACCAAAATACGGGATTCATCAACATCAATTGCCAAATCACGGGAAAAAACTAGGTTTTCCCAAAAAACAGGAGTCGGAATTGGATGTTCCGACCAGAGGAAGGGTTTAAAAAAACACCTCTCCCTCCAGTCGGATGTGTGACTTCCGACCAGGATTTTTTTTTTGTTTTTTTAACTCCTTGTTAATTCCTTATTGTTAAAGCTTTGATTTTAATAGTTTTTTAAAAGTATTGTTAATTCCTTATTCTAAATTCCGAATTAAAAGTTGTTTTAAATTCTTGGCATATTTTTTAAAATGAAAATTATGAATTTTGGTTTTTAAATTTTTTTGATTGCTTAATATTATTTTTTGATATTAATCCGGAAATAGTAAATCCCAACTTAAATCCGATATAGGGATTTTTAAACAAAATAAAAAATTGGTTTTACTCCTGTCGGAAGTCCCAATTCCGACGAGAGGATTTTTTTTAGAAGTTTTATATATTTCGAATGAATTACAACGAAAAAAAATCAATAAATAATAATAAAAAAATCATGTCGGAATTGGTAAATCCGACAAGGGGAAATTAGAAATTAATAATTAATAATTTGAGTTAAATTTGAGTTTAATTAATCGAAAATGTTAAATTAATAATTTTAAAATTCCATCTATATGTTAAGTAAATCATTGTCAATTTTACAACTCGTGTTCATGATATAGGCTGATTACATTTCAAATGATTGTATCCCTACTGGGTCGAATAGGGGTTTTTATGATCCAAGGCTAAAAAATGTGAATCACAAGTGTGCATATTAAAATTTCATCTATATATTAAGTAAATCGTGGTCAATTTCACAATTCGTGTTCATGATATATGCTAATTGCATTTCAGAAGATTGTATCCTTACCAGGTCGAATTGGAGTTTTTATGATCCGGGTCTAAAAAATGTGAATCACAAGTGTTAAATTTTATTTGATTATATTTTTTATCTAATAAAATTTTATCTGATTATATTTTTTCTGATTAAATTTTATTTGATTATATTTATCTGATCAAAATCTTAAGCCATTAAAAATGAATTGAATTGGTAGGTGGAAGTTAGATTTAGGTGATTAAACTTTGTCAAACTTTACACTTTGAGCAGTCCCGTATTAAATTTTACACTTCCTTATTTGCTTTATTTGGCAAACAAATCTACACCAAACAGTGTCAAACAATGTCAAACAGTGTCAAACAGTGTCAAACAGTGCCAAACAGTGTACTGTACAGTAAAGTCAAATTTATTTCCTTAATATATGTGAAGTCAAAGTGTAAAGTTTCATAAGGACCGGAGGGGGGTAACAAGTATGAATATTAAAATTCCATATATTTGTTCAGTAAATCATTGTCAATTTTACAACTCGTGTTCATGATATAGGCTGATAACATTTCAAATGATTGTATCCCTACTGGATTGAATTACGGTTTTTATGATCCGGGTCTAAAAAATGTGAATCACAAGTGTTCATGATATAGGCTTATCACAAGTGTTTAATATTAAATTGTCATCTATATATTAAGGAACTCGTGGTCAATTTCACAACTCGTGTTCATGATATAGGCTTATTGCATAAAATTCGAATGATTGTGCCCTTATTGGGTCAAATTGGAGGTTTATGTTCCAGGTCTAAAAAATGTGAATCACAAGTATGGATATTAAAATTCCACTTATATGTTAAGTAAACCATTGTCAATTTTGCAATTCGTGTTCATGATATATGCTGATTACATTTCAAATGATTGTATCCTAAAAAATGTGAATCACAAGTGTGAATATTAAAAATTCATCTATATATTAAGTAACTCGTGGTCAATTTCACAATTCGTGTTCATGATATATGCTAATTGCATTTCAGAATGAAGATTGTATCCTTATCAGGTCGAATTGGGATTTTTATGATCCGGGTCTAAAAAAAGTGAATCACAAGTGTTAATATTACATTTTCATCTATATATTAAGGAATTCGTGGTAAATTTCACAACTCGTGTTAATGATATAGACTGATTGCATAAAATTCAAATGATTGTGTCCTAATTGGGTCAAATTGAAAGTTTTATGATCCGACACATAAAGTATTGGATTTTGGGTCATGATGGAGTATATGGCCCAGGGACCCCCGGCCCACATACTTCCTCTACTACAATCAGGCCCAATACGCCCAAACGGGCCAAGCCCAGCAAAATGGAGCTCTAAGCAGCCCACAATACGCAAAGGGGTGCCTTCGGCCCTATGGCCGAAGGCTACCAGTGACGGAATCGAGTTTAGAAACATCACAGGAGAACAAGGCTTGAAAACCAAGCCTTCGGCAACTGCAGCCCTCGGCAGGTAGGAGATCTCGGGTAGAAGAGGCATCACAGGAGAACACACCTTGAAAACCAAGCCTTCGGCAACTGCAGCCCTCGGCAGGTAGGAGCCCTCGGTTAGAAGAGGCACCACAGGAGAACAAGGCTTGAAAACCAAGCCTTCAGCACCTGCAGCCCTCGGCGGGTAGGAGCCCTCGGTTAGAAGAGCTTTCGGCCCGGCACCCTTCAGCCGAAGGCATCCACCTCGACAGAATATCCTCTTCACATGCGTCTGGATCACCGTACCAAGTACAAACGTCACATCCAACCACCGCATTTAATGCGGCCACATGCGAGTTCCAGTGACACCCCGGTCGAGGTGACCCCTCGACCACCAGAAAACTGACACGTGTCCTTATCTAGCATTTATTACTGCTATAAATAGCACCCCTTTCCCACATTGTAAACCACGCTTAATACATATCGAATATACACTTTCTCTCTTACTTGTTTGCTCTGACTTCTCTCTAGTTAATCTCCGCAATAACCCCTCGGATAAGCTACCCCCGGGTACACGATCCATCAGGTCACTTTATTTTTTTTTATCTGATTGAACTTATCTGATTAAATTTTATCTGATTATCAGTTTTATCTAATAAATAATTCTAAAGTTATGGGTTACATAAAATAAAATTTATCTCGAATATAAATTTCTTAAAATAAAATTTAATTTATAAAATTTAATTTATCAAATTTCTTAAAATAAAACAAAATAGATTGCTTTTTTCGAAAATAAAATAGACTGCTTATTTCAACCAAAATATATTAATTTTTTAAATATACACTCAAGAGTTTGAATGGGACAATATTCCGTTTAATTTGGTAAAATGAGTGAACACAAATCAAAGCAAACAATAAAAAAATTTTGAACACCCCCCTAGTCGGATTACACAATTCCGACTAGGTTTTTTTGTTTTTTTAAATTGTTTTTTTTGTTTTTTTAATTCCTTCGGATTAAACAAATAATGGAAATGTTAAAAAAATTCGAACACCCCTAGTCGGATTACACAATTCCGACTAGGTTTTATTTTTACTTTTTAAAGCTTTTCCTCCTGTCGGAATTGGAGAATTCGACACCCGTAAAATGGTAACCTAAACCGAAGTCCCGTATTTTGGCTTGTCAGTCCCAAAACTCCCGTAAATTGGTAATTTTCTCTTTTTTCGTTTCATTCTTACCCTTCCTTTAAATATGAGTTGATTAAATGTTAAATTCATAATAAATTTGACAAAAATTCAAAAATTCGTAAAAAATAAAAAAAAATATAAAATATTTATAAAATAAAAAATTAAAAAAATATTTTTTTTTATTTTTTTAGTTTTTAAAAAAATTAATAAAAACTATTAAAAACTCCATAAAAAATTAAAAAAATATGCACGCCTTTCTCACCGCTTGTACTACCTCCCTACACCACCATCTGCGGCCAGTGACCGGAGGTGGTGGTGCAGAGACGACGTTGAATTTTATTTTATGTTTTTGGGTTTTTTATTTTTTTAGTTTTTTTGAAAATAAATAAATAAATTAGTATTATCGAAATATTTTATTAATTTTTAGTATTTTTTACGAATTTTTAATATTTTTTATTATTTTATTATGAATTAAAAACATTTCAATAGCTATAATGGTAGATTTGTCCAAGACACACATAATTAGTCCTATGAAAACATAGTTTATTTTTTTGGCTGATTTGTGCAAAGTGAGTGATTTTTAGTCCTATTTTCATAATTAACTCTCACATATTGCGCTTGGTTTGTTCAAATTGTTTTGTTTTATTTTAGTATTTTTTCTTTGTATTAAACAGAATTGAATTAAAAATAGAAAAATTGAATACAATTGATCTAAACTAAAGAAATTTAATAAAACTTTCATATGTTATAAAAAACAAATCCAAACAGAACTGAACTAAATTGAACCAAATCGAATCAAATCAAAACATAGTATGTAGAACTATACGTATTATTTTTGTTTGATACTCCCTCCGGTTCGTATTAAAGTTCTCACTTTCCTTTTAGGAATGTCCCTTATTTAAGTTCACACTTCCATTATAGGAAATAAAACAGTGTCAAACAGTGTCAAACAGTGTCCAAACAGTGTCAAACAGTGCACTCCACAGTAAAGTCAAATTTATTTTCTTAATCTGTGTGAAGTCAAACTGGGAACTTTAATAGGAATCAGAGGGAGTAATAACTTTTCCAATCTGTTCCAAATCGAACCGAATCGAATGGATAAAATTGATTCGAAGTGCCTCTCGTCTTTTTAGTGCCCATTTGGTAGCCCAATTTTGCGGCTTATCTGTCTTATCAATCAATTTTTTCATCAAACACACTCTTTTATTTCGCGTGCGCTCTGAATTATGTAATAATAATAAAAAGTAAGGTTGGAGTTATTTTTCTAGTTGTATTGGCTGAAGTTACTGTTGAGGATCATTTTAACTATTTTTACATATAAAATGTTCTTTATTTTATTAATAACCCATATTTTAAATATAATATTTTTTATAAATCAGCAAAATCGGTCAATTCAACCACTTTAATCAGAATTTCATAACATGAAGCAGAATTAAGTTAATTTAGCCAATTTTGATATTACCAAACGGACTCTTAATTGAGATTCCTATATATGACCTGGTTATGGAAAACTCCGATTTACTTAAGAAATTTCTGAAAGTGTAAGTAAACATGGTACAATGGGGATAAAATTTAATTTTGTCTTAGTAATACACTAAAAAAAACTGTTTGAGACCCGGAGGGTATATATGTTTAAAAGATCTCACTTTTAGGAATTACGGAGTAATAATCTACTTTTGTTTTAGTTTAGAGATTTGCATTGACCATCTTTTTTGCCTAACATTTTCATATTATTTTATTGATGATTTGTATTAAGAGTTGATTATATACAAGGAAGAATTAAATAATCCAATCTATTGTACTGTAGTAAAGAACTCAATATGGGACAAGCTAAAATGTATTTTCATTACATTGCTATTTTATTTTGATTTGTTTTATTTGATTTTACTTATACGAATATACATATTTTTTGACTTTATTTTATTATTACTTGTGGTTGGCAGGGACTGGAGGTGTTGAAAGCTTCCCTGCACACAAAATCTGTACTCACAACTGTGTTTCTCGGCAAAAAGTCAACAACTTGATTGACTGGTTCCACTTGCTTTATTCAACCGCTGATGCTTCAATCTTGTGTCTTTTACTCCTAAGTTTTCTTGATGGATGGGTCTGTGGATCCTTAATTATCTAAATAAATTTCTTAGGTTAAAGTTCGAACTTGCTTGCTGGTTTAATTAGTAATTCCATAAATAAATGTGCCCCATGCACTGTGGTTTGTTTCATGCCTTCATTTTATGCTGCATGTATTCATTGGAATCTTATTTATATGGTCTACAACGTAATGATTTTATTTAAATAAATTAATTATTAACTAAAGTATACGGTTCTTCTTATTAATTCATGTTGAGTGTATGAAGTCCCATGAGCGTTTTTATTAATTAAATATAAGAAAAATTCACACTAAGGCTAACTTCAACCCTCTCTAGTTTATTCCTCACTAGTTTATACGTATTCACTCAGTCAATTCATTTTTTTCCTGCAACCTGACACTGTCAATGTATTCTCCCAGCAGAATTTTATTTAATTAAATCCTTAATTTTATTATTATACATTAAATCTTTTTCATTCTTTTTTTTTTGTGAATGATTGTGATCCAACAGGTCAAACATCCCGATGTAAAAATAATTAAATTTGGAGTTTGAGTTTTTATTGTCACATCAGACCTATTTTTTCAAAAAAATATTTGAAAAAAGTTAAATTTTGCTTTAGTTATTGGATCTTAATTTTGGCATTTGGATCTAAGATTTTAGGCATAAAAATCTCAAAACAAATGAAAATTTATAATTATTTAAAATTTTATAAAAGCAATATTGCTGGTATATGATAGATAATAAAAAAATTATGAATTTTGATATATTTTTTATAAACATTGAAATAAAAATACAAAAGTTATAATATTTTAAAGAAAAATGCACTAGTGGAAAAACGTCAAACAGAGGCGCTTCTCAGCATAAGCGCCTCTGTTACGCAACTATTTTAATTTTTTTATTTTCTACGTATGCGTGCGGCGCTTCTGGGCCTACAACGCCTCCATTTTGTTCTCAATTTTATTATTTTTTAAAAAAACAATGTTCCGTGCGGCGCTTGTGTCATATAAGTGCCTCCAATTTGCTTCCCGGTTTTTTTTTTGAAATTTTCTAAAAGCGTGCGGCGCTTGTTGAAGTGCCTCAGAAGATAACGTTTTTTTTTAATTTGGGCCACACGTGCGGCGCTTCTTAAACTCAGAAGCGCCTCCGATCCTAAAGCTTCAACCCTAGTGCTGCACCTTCGATGACACAACGCTCAATTCGATCTCCAGCCGCACTGCTCAATCCATCCAGCAGCCGCACCGCGCATCTGCTACGATGTCACCGGCGGCTGCTCCATTTTGGCCCCCAACTGCTTGCTGCCGTCCGCTCGCCGTCGTCTGCTTCCCCTCGGGCGCTGCTTCGTCTTCTCCGGCCAAGCTTGCTCACCGACGTCTTGTCGCTCGGCTTCGACTGCTCCGGCGAGCCGACGTCTCCGGCTCGCCCTCAACTGCTCTGGTCCGCTAGATAAAGGTCAGTTCATTATTTTTCAATTACTTTTTTGGTATATTTTGGTTGATTTCATTTTATTTGATTTTAGTTTGAATGTTTTTGGATTAAAGTAGATTTCTCATGATATCCATTGTTCCCATGTTTAGGCTTCCTTAATTTTTTAATCCAGTGAGAATTACATTTTACATTGATAAAGGTGAGTTTATTTGTTCATTTTTTGGCATATTTTGATTTTCATTTTTATTTGATTTTACTTTGATTATTTTTTTGACTGCTCCGGTGAGTACCATCTTTGTAAGCTTTACTCAATGAATTAATGCAACTTCAGAGTGGCTAATTTAGTGATTTGTAGAAGTCACATGCTTCTTTAGTATTCCTTATGTACACCTCTTGAATTTGATTGTTAGTTTTGCTTTCTTCTATGTGCCTAGCATTCCTTTTGACTGATAGCTTTTGTTGAAACATTAAATTCCCAGGATGAATGGCAATTAGGCTTGAAATCTCTTCAGGTTGATTCCCTTACAAAATTAAAGAAAGCACTTCCAAAGTTGGAGGCAGAGGTATTTTGAGCTACTTTATCTTTCTACTAATGACATGGTTCATACAATGTGCGATTTAATGTGCAGCTTATTCAATAACAGGTCATGATGCCTGCTAATTTTGAGGACTTTTACACTTTTGCATTCCGCTACTGCCTAACAGGTAAGACATGAAGAATTTAAAACATGTATACAGTTTTTTACTCAATTTTACTTTGTCTCATGTCATAAGTTATTGCTTTCTAGTGTATAACTAGCGTGCCTTCTTTTTTCAGAGGACAAACAAAAATGCTTAGACATTGATAGCATATGTGTACTGGTAGATCTTGTTCTGGGATCACAATTCCTGGCTCAAGTTAACTCATTCACCGAATATCTTAAGGTTGTATCCCATCTTTCCTCATTTCTGATGCTATTTCAACATAGAATTCCAATGAGTTTGAATTAGAAATTCCACGAGCGGACCTTTGTCCTAACCAGAGACTATAGGAAATTAGGAATTTTGGATTATACTTGTATGTCAACATTTAACATTTATACTTGTATGTCAACATTGAGCGCATGTATATATATATATATATATATATATATATAATGATTTAGTTGTGATATTTAACATTTATACTTGTATGTCAACATTGAGCATTTATACTTGTATGTCAACATTGAGCATATATATATATATATACACACAAAATACACACACACATATATATTTCTAGACACACTTGTATGAGACCATATTATTGGTCTCAACCAGTGAAACGGGCCTGGTGGAGTCGAAAAGTACAGTATGTTATCATAACACAATCTGTGAAGAATATATCATACCACTTTTGAACAGAAATGCAATTAAGTTGCTAAATTTATTTATGTGAATGCAGGCTATTTTTCTGTCGATAAGGACTCGACTTCTCAGAAGTTGGTTTTTAATCGAACAGTTACACTGCGAGATAGTTATGGCAAAGCTGGAAAGTAAGAATTCCAATTGAAGATACTATCACTTAAAGAGGCTTTTCAAATAGGAGTTTTAGATCTTAATTTATTTGTAATTCTTGGTTAATTGCCATCAGCTTTCTCTGCCTCTTCACAAGCTGAGATTTAATTTTTGCTGATTACTAATATATAATTATTATTTATTATAGGGTCAATTTCACGTTTTCTCATGTAAAATGTAATGATCCCTAGTTTCCAGATATGCTCTTAGTCAAAATTACTCCTGTTTTGGAGATAAAGAGAGTATATCCTATGCGCCTCTTGTTGCTCCTACTAAATAGGAAGAGTAGCTCATATTTTGAAAATTTAAATTTTATACTCATATTCTTACAATTTTGATTTTATTTACTCCTATTTAGAGAATTGCTCCTTTTCAAATACAAAAAATGTTATCTTCATTGACACAAATAGAGTTAATAGACTCTGTTTGGTTGGTTGCTATGGTTGGTTTATTTTTCTCTTTACATTTTTGTCATCTAATATATAGTGTGCAAGACAAACGGGCAACACAGAATGTGGATATTATGTGATGAAGTTTATTTGGGAAATAATAACTTCTGTTGAAAGTTCAGATATTGCACAAGTATTTAAATTATACTTCGTATATACTTCAATAGGTGGATTTCATTAAATCATTTAACTTATATACGGTAGTCTAATTTAGTTTGTCATTATTTATTTTATCTATATTTGTATGATTACTCTCAGGTTTGGAATGCAAGAACTGAGCCATATACCACGAAGGAGTTTGATGACATTAGAAAAGTATGGGCTAGGTTTTTTGTAGATAAAGTGTTATGACTATGTAGAATTGTGAAAAATCAAGCAAACTAGAATGTAGTTTTATTCTATTGTGATACAAATTTGTACCTTTTGAATTGAATTTGTGCGAAACGATTTTATCGTTATTCTGGTTTTATGAATGAATGAATGTGTTTTTTTGGTTGACGATGGATCTGTAAATAAAACAGGTTATAGTATTTTAAATAAAATATTAAAAAATAATAATAATTGGAAGCGCTTTTTATGACAAAAGCGCCTCTAAAGCAGAATACGAAGCAGATTTTGGAGGCGTTTTTAAGGTCAGAAGCGCCTCTAATTCAGTTACGTAGCACATTTTGGAGGTGTTTTTTTCGTCAGAAGCGTCTCTAAATACCGATATAAAAAAATCAGAGGCGCTTCCATGTTGAAAAGCGCCTCTATTTAACTCATGCGTGCGGCGCTTTTTCTGTTAGAAGCGCCGCAAAAGTCCGATTTTTTTTTTAAATTAGAGGCGCTTCCAGTATAAAAAGCGCCTCCAAATGAGATTTGCGGCACATTTTGTAGAGGCGCTTCGAAGCGCCGCACGTAGTCCATTTGAAGCGCCTCTGATCAGCGTTTTTCCACTAGTGATGGAACATTTAATATTCTGGGGCCCACTCTTGTTAAACGTACTGCACATGTAGTGCACATACTCCTTGACGAGCACTTTGTCACGGTGCGTCAAAATAATTTTCAATACTAACACTTATACGTAGTATAGCGTAGTAGAGTTCGTATCCACAGGGAAAGGAATAATTCTCTTTTTATAAAACTTAGTAAATAAAGGGGGGATTTGGATTGAGTGATTTCATTTAATTAAAAACTAAGATGAACGACCTGATGGAGTATATGGGTCTGAGCCCCCGGACCCACATACTCGGAAGAACAAAAAGCACAAGACACAGAGTGGCGCCCCCGTCGGCCAAGACGCCTCGTCGGCCGAAAAGGGGCCAACTCAGATTATGGTCCTGAGCCCAAGGAACCCGGGTGCCCTCGTCGGCCGTGCCCTCGTCGACTGTGCCCTCGTCGGCCACGAAGACTCCACAGAACCGGATTCTACACTTACTCATTTGTACAGCCCATTAGTGGCTTTGTATTCGGCCCAGTAGCGGTCCAGTTGTAAATGGGCCTCCCAAGCCCAAGGTTTGGGAGCCCAGCCCGTATTTTCTCTATAAATACTCCCCTTGGGAGTAGTTATAGGGGTTACAAAATCATTCTATTGAAGCATATTATTGCACTTCTCTCTCTAGCTCTCACTTCTCTCTAGATATACTCTATCATTTGGTGCTCTCGTTGAGAGCTAGAACAATCAAGTTAGCACCCTTCGTCGCTACCAAGCACAGCTAACCACTGATCATGGGGAGAACTAAGTCAAACCGCAACCTCGTCAGCAAAGCCATCCCTGAGGACCAAGAGCCCAGGGAGCACGATGAGGACGCCACGGCCGACCAGGTCG